ATTTTGGGGGAGCGGGGACCGTCTGGAGAGCTCTTGGGATCATGCTGAGGCGGCCTTGGGCCACCATGGAGCTGCCTCGGGGATGGCTTGGATGCCAGGCACAAATCTTGAGCCATCTTGTGAGCGCCGGGGGCCCTCCTGGAGCCGCTTGAGGGCCTCTCCGGCGCTATCGAAGCCTGCGGATCCCAGCTCGGAACGTTCTTGTGAGGGAAAGTGGCGGATGCCCGGAATGCTGGCAAACCATGACACCCTTGCTGGGCATCGCTCGGACGTCCATTCCATGTGTTTTTGTTCGGTTTCGTGCGTGGTTGTTTCGCCAAATGATCAAGGATGCTCCTCGATGGTCCTCGCCGAAGGAAAAGTGCACACGTCCGAGCGATGCCAAGCTTGCGGCAGAAGACCCTGCGCAGCTTTACACGGTTACGATTGGAGGGCCACGATGGGGGGGCCATGCTGGGGGGCCCCGATGGGGGGATCGGGATAGGGATCGAGATAGGGATAGGGACAGGGATAGGGATTGGGGTAGGGATGCGGGTAGGGATAGCTATACGGGGCTTGGGACGTAGGGATAGGAATAGTGGGACAGCGATAGAGCTCGGGATGGGGATGGGGATGGGAATAGAAGGGACAGGGATAGAGCGATAGAGGGCTAGGTATGAAGGAATAGAGGGATTGCGGGAGTGAGTGAGGCAATCGCTAAGCGAGTCAAGATCAAGGACATGGGAAAAGGGGCAGGGGAAGGGGGGCGGCGGTCCTTGGTGTCGAGGTTGTTGAAGGGGGCGGCCGCACGCGCGGGCGCGAGAGAGGCGCCGCGCTCGCCGCTCCTCCTCCTTCTCCTCCTCACCCTGGGGACCCCGCACAACCCTCTGTAGGTCCCTCGCCGACACTCGCATTCCTGAGGCGGGCAGCTTTCTCTGCCTTACTAAGAACCTTAGGCCACTGATGGGCCTGGATTCTTGATAAATATTCTTGACAGTGAGGGGTTGGGACAGAAGGCTTACTGCATATACTGTGCAATTGGCCCTTCTTGGACTGGCCGTAGTGGCCGCAACACATACAGAACCAAAGGTTAAGTCCTGAATGGTAGCGGAGACAATGGCTGTTGTCTACCCACCCCCCAGCCAAGTGCAGACGAGCCCCCTGGGGAAGGGAAAAATAAATTCCTCCGAGCGGTATTAATTCAAAACATGGCGATTGTCTCCACGCTACGACACAAGCTTGCGTGGCAGACCCTCGACAGCGCGTGCACCCTCGGCCGTTCTCTGTCAGCTGATGGCCGCTGGTGAAAACTGAAACTTGCAACGGACCAGGAGGTGCAGGGGCCTTGACGGCCTCTTTCTTTTTCACAACATTTCCAAGAGCTCTCTCGTTTTCGATTGCATCTAAGTTGGCACGAAGCAAGCGATGGCGAACTAAGAAGGCTCGCCTTTCGTGCCGATGGATACGAGCTCTGGTTTGTTCGTCAACGCGCGAACGGGTGGCGGCTATTTCTGCAATAGCGTCAGCTGTGTCATTGCCTACAATCATCCATTCGGGAAAACGTTGATGGAAAACGTCAGCACCAGACAGATGTGAGTTTATAAATAAAACTAAAACCTTCTCTTTACCTCTGAGCTTTACCTCGCGGCCGATTTTAGCCCAGAGGTCCGCCTCTTCTCCTGAAGGCGACTCAAATCGATTCGAATACCAGCCGTCTACCACATTGAAATTATCGGACGCGAAAACTATGTACCCAGAACTTACATACAGGGCTAGCCACAGGGCAGTGAGTTCTCCCCTGCCAACAACCTGACGGTGCCCTGAAAGAGGCCCTTCTACAGTTGCTAGTGTCCTAAATTCATCGTTTGCGGCTGGTTCGGCAGCTAAAACCAATCCTACTCCAACTCTTCTGAGACGAGGACAGGCCGACTCAGGGCCCCCGCTAGCGTCCCCGAAAAAATGGAGGGGGTGTTCTTGTGAACCCTGTCCAGCTACACCTTTGGCTAATTCGCTAAAAGTTCCTGAGCAGCGCCAGTCGTCAGACATGACAGGCGGGGGGGCCTCAACCCAAGAGCTAGGTAAAAGGCCCCGCAACCAAAAACACTCGGCCGACTCCCATTGGGAGTAAGCCTCGGGCACAAACTCTTCAGATTTTTCGTAGGCCAGGGACCCTCGGTTTTCGGGGCAGGCCCAAACTCTGTGAAACGGGGTCTCACGTGCTTGGCGGCACCGCTGGCAGAGAGGCGAGCAGACTCCTGGCTTCTGCTGTACTCGCCTGTCTCGCGGCCAGGTGCCGCCTGTGGCGACTGCTGTCATTAGCTCTGCCAATCTGTGGCCGTGCGGAACGTCACGAAGTTGGCGAATGAGGCTGATATACGACGACATGTCTACCCCGTGTTCAGCTCCTCCACCGCAGAAGTGAGAGCTTGCTTTTTCCCACAACATTCTGGATCTATCTTCCTGAAACTCACGCACAAGGTCTCTAGATAAATCAACTCCTTTCTGCTCAATAAAGATGCTC